CTCAAGCATTTCTGACAAGTCATGTAAATCCGCATTTGTTAATGAGCCATTGCCACATATCATGCAAACTACTTCCACCAGTCATCGCCTTCAGGCAGAAAGCTGTCCAAAAACATGTGCACGGTGCCACCTCCGCTGCGATTCAATGAGAGCGCTTCCTACATGATGAGGACACTTGTACTGACGTGCGAAGATAAATGTGTGTATGTGTTTGCATGTTATATATAATTATATATAGTATAATAATATATTATATATAATTAATATATATAAGTATATATAATATATATGCTATATATCAATATTATATAATAGTAGTATATATAATATATAAGTAATATGCATGATATTGCAATATGATATATGTATATATATATATAATTATATAATGAATATAATATATATATATTATTAATATATGACATATATATATAATGCCGAATTGTAAATAGTATTAGTATATAATATATATAGATATAGAAGATATAATGATAGTATAAGAATTATATATATAGTGATATAGAGAATAAATATATATATATATATATATATTATATTATATATACATGCACACATATATTACATTACATAAGATAGATAGTAATAATAAATATAATAACAGAATATGAAATATACCAATAGTAATATATACATTAATATTACCACAACATTAATAAACATATACAATAAAATACAGATTAATTCATATCCTAATATACATTATATAATTATATAACTTATAGAATACCATAAATTAACATATTAATATTAATAATATATATTATAATATATATATAATATATATATACTTAATATTAATATATATTAATATACATATATACCACCAACACCGATGCAATATAATATGTCAATACATGCAGTATATCTAATAGTTATACAATCATCAATACTAAGATAATTATTACCAAATATCAGATTATATACATACATGATATAACACAATCAATACTAATATACATACAATTACTAATATACTAATATTATAATATATAGTGATATTAATAATTAAAATATAAATATATTATATAATATATTTTAAATATTTATATTAATAATTAATATAATATAATTAATATAATTAATGCATATATATTAATTACAATATATAATACATATTATATGATAATTATATTTATAGTAGTTAGAACAGTATAACTAATACTATATATCCAATCTTATATGGTTATATTTATAGCATTTATATTAAGTATAACTAACACATTGATATATTATGTATAATGTGTATAACATACTTTAGTATTTGACTTATCATGAGTGCTATAATATGCGATATTATATAACATGATTAATAATAATCTATGACTATATATTGCTAATATGATTACAATATATAGGATTATATCATATATATTTTAGAACACATCATATATATTGATATAATGTATATATATATAAAATTTATATATATATAATTTATATAATTCTGTGTGTTACCAAAAACTTATACCTAATTTTATAATATACCAACATTATATATATATTTATATTTATAGGTATATGCCAAAAAATAACAATATACCATGGATAGATACCATGCACACATACATCAACCAACACACAATACCAATATCCATAATAATACTTAATACAAGCTAACTATAATTACTAATATATATATAATTATATATACTACAACGCTTATATATATATTATAACATATATAATAATACTTATATTATAATATAGATTCACATACACTATAATTCAGTATTATATCATATCTATATTTATAATAATATCTATACATATTATATCAAATTAACTACATATTATTACAATATAATACATAATATATATATACACTTAACTATACATATAATATAAAATATTACACCTAATCAACTACTAAATATCATATCTTAATTGATATTTATAAAATATACATATTACTGGTACAGTATACTATATTCAAAACATACATCCACAACATCACACAGACATTCAAACACAAAACACCCAATCCAGCCACACCAACTACCAATCACAAACAACCCACACACTACAACAAACTACACCACCCACCAATACTACCCCACCAAACCACACCAAAACAAACCCTGAGCTAAATCAACACAACCATACAATCTCATCAACTTACAAACACAACACTAACACACACACACACACACACACACAACACACATCACAACATCATAATCTACAATTAACATACAACATATACTAACATACACACATACACACACGCACGACACGCACGCAAACTTTGCGCGACACAACACACACACACACACACATCACTACTACACACACAACACACCTCATTAAATATATAAACATTTATATGTGATTGTGTGTATATAATGTATAATATAATATATAATATTAATATTAAAGATATAGTATAATAATATTAAATATATATATTATATGCGTCATTATTAATAAAACGTACACAAGTACATAAAAAATGATATTTTAATTTTCTGCTAAAGTGTTGTACAGTGAAAGTGCGAGCGGACCGGACAAAGAAGGAGTTTGTTGATAAATGCTTAGCATTACTTGGAGAACATATATAATTGAAACTTCTCCAAGCATAAATTAATTCCGTATCCCCTATGAAAATGACGACTAGAAAACACTAAAGTCCTTCACTCTGAAACCCTAATTTCATACTCCATATCGTCCTTATTCTATCTTTATCAATGAACATAGGATCCTCTTGCACTGAGACTCAAAACTGCGACCAAAGCAACATCACCCTCATCACACGGGGATGGCCGCCTCCACCACCACACGCGCCCGCCATCTCCCATGACTGTGGTGTGGAGATCCGGTGCTTCTGAGTCTGGTGAGATCAGGATTCTTGCTGGCCACGTTACTCAGAAAGATAACAAACTATTATAAATAGGAAGTTGAGTTAATAACTTACGTTAGTAATTACATTAGAGGTGTCGAATTTTTCAGGTTATATTATGTATTTCGAAGCCGAACGGTTCCATATAAATATAAAAAACCTGCTAAAACTGACAAAAAACCATACCCAAACTATCAAAATAGCACTAACATCCCATAAGACACTGTCAATATATCCGAACAAGTGAAATAGATAAAAATTAAATAAATCATAAAAACGAATTCACTGACAGACATATATATCTAGACTCGCTATAATCTGAAACAGAAACAACGCCACAACAATAGAAACGAAATGACGATCCGATATTTCATTAAGAAAAACCAATACATATTCTCCTGCACGAAGTCGATCTCCAACAATTTAGCTTCCCTAAGGATATAGAAGCTTGAAACTTTACAAGAATAAGAAAAAAATAATAAGCACCAAGAAACAAGCGACGCTTATAATTCGCGATATACTATGAAACGGTCGAACAATGTAACCACTGTGTCTTCAGCTGTTATCTTATCCTAATCTACCAGCCCTCCAGGTGACGAGGACAAATTAAAACGTCGCACTATACCTTTTCTTTCCCCGACGACGGCTTCCCCAGCACTGCCTGCCTCCAGTTCACGCTGGCGCGACGTCGAGTACGAGTTGGTAACTCTTCCCGCGATGTTGCCCACTAATGATGCGGTCGGGCCGGACGATCGGTTGAAAATGCTTCCCTAAAAAGAACAGAAAAACATGTATTTCGTATGCAGTTTCGCTAATTTTAGAGAAATGGATACCGTTATATCCGAAAGAGTTCGTCAGTTTACACCTCATGCTTTGTATCATTCACAACATTTAAAAGTTTTATCAAACCATGAGGTCAGGATGCTGACATCTGCCCCTTACATAGCACAATCCGTAAAACGGAAATACTATTCCAAAAACAAATGCAATCTTTTAAGGAGCAGAAATAACGATTTGAATGATGAGTTAATGAATTTACATGATAAAACAACTTACTTTTGTAAAAAATGTTTACAATGTAAGTTGCATGCAGGAGAGATTTACAGTGGTTTAACTTTTCTCAATACATGGTAAATCATTCGCAATACGTTCATAAACATAATCATTACACAACCACATTCACACTTACCCGAGGTTGGACATAACATAGGCACTAGGTTCCCCCCCCACCTTCAGTGACAGATCCAGCGCCCTCTTCTGAATTATACATTAGTGACACAACCGTGACCTAACGCATTTAGCTCACCCATTACAGATAAATAAACAAATGCATAACACCAACACTCCTACACTCTCAACATTACACAAAGGAGTGACAACACCATTCTCAGAAATTCACACTTGATACACACTTCTTTCTTGTTATGGGCGTGAGAACTATACCTCGAGCCGATATCTGAGAAAAAAAAACTGGCGGTTCCCATGAGTATGTTTACATGAACTTTTCACTTGATTCACATTCGAGCTGACCAGAAATAATATTTATGAATAAATTATCAATATACTGGCGTTATTTTTTTATCGACTAAAACGTACAAGAAATCCTTTGCCTGTTTGTTTATGTGTGCGTTTTCTTGAATATCTGCATGTCATCAACTCCTAAAACCATGTTAACAAATGTTAGTGTTAACATGACATAATATTCCTAACAGTCACTCATTCGCGTTTGCGCACATTTCTGTTACTTAACATAAACTTATGAAAGCACACTCACATACATAAATACAGGTATGTATGTGTGTGTTTATATGAATATATATATATATATATATATATTATATATATATATATATATGTATATATGTATTATGTATATACATTTATATGTATATATATGCATGTGTGTATATGATATACGTATACATATAGATAGATAGATAGATATAGATATACATATACATATACATATACATATACATATATATATATACACAAATACACACACTCACACGTACACACAACATGCGTGTGTATATATATTATATATATATATATATATATATATATATATATATATATATATATATATATATATATATATATATTATATTTTATTATTTATCTATCTATCTATCTATCTATC